TCTTTGCTTGGTTTGCAATTCAAAATCGTGTTTGGATCATTGACTGCTTGTCCAAGCAGGGTTAGGACAATTGTGGGCTTTACCCGTTATGCAAGAGAGAGCAAGAGTCTGTTGCGCACCCCTTCTACAAGTGCGCTACACGTTGAGACTTTGGGAAATGTTGAAAGATTGACTCCAATCGGATAGCATGGAAATTTCCACTTGGCCGGTGGAACGATCTATCAAGGAGTGGTGGACAAACATGTCTAGCATGACGACGGTGCATAGGAAAGCAAATGGCCTCCCTAACGATGCTTGTTGCTTGGGCTATTTGAAACGAGAGGGACACGAGGATATTCCGCAACAAGTTTAAGCTGCTCAACAACATAAAGAGCGAGTCTAAGCTTTGGGTCGCTGCCGGGGCGAAAATTTTAGGTCATTTGATGCCACGAGATTAATGACCATGCTGTAATAATTTTTTACTTTTCGCTACAAACTCTTGTCCGTCTTCATTCTTAATTAGTGGATGAGACAAAGTTTTTGCCTCCGTTTAGAAAACAAGCACGCATATATAACAAGAAAAAAGAGGCTTAACTCATGGCTAAAGAACGGTCTAGCAAAGCAGTACTTCTAGAAACAAAGGAAGTACTGGTCTACTGGACACGGGGGACAGCAGGAATATCAGACTATGTCCATCAGTAACCAATGGGTGTTCCGGTGTGTCCTTTGGACTACAGAAACAATGTTGCAACCCATGTATGCCATTTCGCACCAGTCTGCAATACATACCACCAAACTGGTCCAAAGCACAGTACTGCCCGATTGCCGCACCACCACGTCACGCCACGCCTACCACATTATTTCCTAATGTACGCTCCGGGTCCAGGCCAGGCCAGATGGCTACTGCCCGATGTCGCGCTTGTGAAGGATCTTCCCTGCGAGCACGGCCGTCTCGATGACACCCTTTATGACGAACGCCGTCTCGCCGACGCCGCACTTATTCCCGGGGAACGTCGGCCCCGCCGGGTTCACCCCGTCGATGCAGCCCAGCAGGTTCTCGTTGCACCTGGTGTTCAGGTAGTCATCTGCACACACGACACATGGAGTGAGTGCACCACAAATCATTCATCCGCACACACAGACACAGTGGCAGGACCAGTGCGCGCGGCCGGGTGAGTGCGACGGGGGTGTTTTTCCTGCAATCATGCGTGCGCGCCTCATCAACGCGCGCAAGCGACCGGTGCTGCCGCGTTCGAAATGTGGGCGACAGGACGACGTTGACGAGCTAGTGGCGCAGCGGGGTACGTGTCGGTTGCGTCGCACGCTTCAAATTATCTATCTCTATACGAAATGCGTACTTATTTGGAGGAGCGTGTGCTGATACGAATTGCATGCGGCTTATCTGGAGCGTGTTGGGCCAATGAGGGAGCCATCTGCCCATGCACTTGTTAATCTAATCATTCCTAATCATGCTGGTACCACTGGAGATACGATCTGCTTGCTATAGGTGGCGTGTCATCTCGTAAACGACTGGCATGGGGCCGAGAGCTCTGTGTCTGCGGAGATGTCAAACGAAGCAAAGAAAAGGGAAAACCTACGTGCTTTTCTCCTGTCCGATCTTTTCGTTTCGGATAGTAGCTAGAAGAAGAAAAATGTGTGGAGCTGGGAGAAGATGTCGTACTGTTGTTGGCGGCGACGCAGTGGTCGTGGACCATGCAGCAGGCGTCCAGGGCGTCGCAGGGCTTCTCGCCGGGGCAGCCGCTGTAGAGGATTCCGCAGTATTTCCCGTACCTCAGCACAGGCGGGACTTCCGGAGGGAGGCCGGTGGCGTGCCGGAAACCAAGGGCAAACGAGCGTCAGTTACTTCGGTCCAGGCCATTATTCAACTGAAAAATAAACAGGAAATCTGCTATCCTCGGTACTTCTGCGCAATGCTATCGTCTGGCTAAACAAGAGCTAGTCAAGATGAAGTTCAATCTAACAATCTAACTTGCAGTCCAATCTAATTAGACTCGACTGCTCTGTTCTTTTCAGGAATAGAAACAGCTACTCTGGAATACATAGCAGCTCAAGAGAAAACAAAGATTGCTGTGACACGAAGACAGTGTCGGAGACTGATCAGAGTTGTGGCAAGTGCCTACCGGTGCAAAACTTGGACTCGCATGTCCGGCTGCAGTCCTGCTTCCCCTGCAAGGCCACGACCAAATCGATCAGCTCCAGAAGCACTTACAAACGAACAATCCAAATCGATTTGTTAGTAAGCCATACGCTCGATCTCCCACGTACGTACCGCCGGTGGTTTCCCTTGGCTGAAGAGATCGCCGACCTCGAGCCCCCGCGGAGCCGTCACCAGCGAGAGGAGAAGCAGCAAGGAACACCAATGGGAGAGACCGAGCACCGATCTCATTGCTGCTGTGTCCAAGTCGCGGAAGGGAAGCAGAGAGGAGCTTCTGCGCGGGACGAAGCAGGGCGTGGTGTGTGGGGTGCGAAGTATACGTGATCTATTTTCGCAAGGCACCAAGTGAGTTACTTATATGAGCTCTGGAGTTTGGGGGTCTGGATGTGGTGGCGTGGTGCAGCAACTAGCACAGGTGAAGTGAGCACTGGGCATGCCACTGGTGACGAGAGGTGCCATGGCATGTGCCATTAGCCGTTTCATATCCCTATATTTTGTGGAGTGGTCGCTCTTGTCCTGACGTTTATAATCGCTAACTTTAGCTACCCAGCTTGCAAAACGATCCCATATTATGGAACGGGCGGTGTACGAGAGACCGGCTATTGCTAAGTTGTCTACCCCCACCTCACTCCACATTTATCGTACGAACTAGTCATTGCAGTAATGTCATGCTAAAATTGCACAGTTTCAAGGTTATAACTTCGGTTGACAAAGATTAGTAATGAAAACTCCAAACAACTAAAAGGTGTGCAATTTCATCTTGTTTTCCGAACATATAACCTTTGGTTGGTGTGGGCGTGATGCATGCAGATCACAGGGAGCATGCATATGTTATTATTGCAGTCTTGACAAAGGACGTCACACTTACATTACAGCTCACAAGTTGCCATCACCGGAGGACGCCGGAGGACAAGTGGGTGCAGTTTTGTAATCTCTGACCTACGTCCCATTGGCATGCAATGTTAACATGATCACATTACCTTCTCATCGAAGATTAGGTATCTTCTCTTATTTTATTGTGCAAGGGCGTACCAAACAAACGGATAGAGAACTGACATTTGACCACCTGCATGCATGGGAAGTCCGCCTGCACCAGACTTGGTTAGTTTAATGGTATAGAACCGAGATCAAACTGAGTCTGGTTGAGTGTCTTCCTGAAGCAAAGAAATGACCTGCAACCGCGCGTAGAGCGCCCATACAACCGCTACACATTGTATATATGTGTTTGCGCCCTCCTGGCGACTCCTCTAGAACGACAAGAACACATCAACCAATAGTATTTATGAGAGTTAAGGTTGAAGGTAGTTTCTGAGGGATAAGATTGAAGGCAGTTTACGAGCCCAGTTCAGGTGAAGATTACTTGGGCATGCGTCAATGTGTTATTTCGTGCGAATCCCGCTTCCTGCTTCGTCAGATCGTCTTTGGTTAGCAGTCAAACTCGAAGAGTAATGCAACACAGTACTCATACTCCACCTAGAAACTTTCCTTCGTGATAGGCCATAGACGTAGACTTGCATGGCGTGGAACAGCACGCCCGCACCTCCACACGATGTTCAGCGCTTAGTGCTGAAATTCAAACAAATCACCAAATATTTTTTTCAAAACGGAGGCAAAAAATTAGCTTCTCCATTAATTAAGAAGAGAGAGGAATTGCTGAACGCGGCCCGCTCCCTCCCTCCCCCCGCTCTAGGGTTCCTCCCTCCCTCTCCCCGCCGCCGCCGGCCTTCCTAGGCCCCGCCGCTGCCGTCGACCGCCCCCGGCCCCGCCCCCCTCCCCCCTATCCCTTCCCCCGGATTCGCTCCGTGCCGCCTCCCCGGGAGGTGGCCGGGGCGGCGGGAGCCCCCCCTCCGGCCGCCTTCGTTTCTCCTCCCCTCCCTGCCGCCGCCGATGGGCGCCCCCGGCGCTGGCCGGGTGGTGTTGGCGGCGGCTGGGCCTGCCTATCCCCGCGCGCGCGGCTCCTTGCCCGGGGCATGGGGCGGCGGCGGTGCTCCACGGCTTGATGACGGCCCGGCGTCCCGGTAGCGGTGGCCGGTGGCTCGCGTGGTGGTGGTGCGGCCCCTTGGCGGCGTGACGGCGTGATGGCGCAGGTTCGCCGGTGGCGCGCCTCGGGCCCAGATCGGGGCCCGCGGGCCCCATCTGGGTCCTAGCGGGCCGGCCCCCGGCGTGGCTTCGTTGTCGTCTGTGTGGTGAGGAGGTGGAGCAGCTTGGACGGGGGGCAGCGACGCTGCCGGTGTGCCAGCTGCGGCGCGGAGGCGGGAGCTGTCCGGGCCTCTGAGGGCCCGGGCGGGCCTGTGGGGCCACGAGCCCGGTAGGCTCCTGCTTTGGCATCCGGTCGGCTACCGTCGTGGACGGTGAAGGTGGGGCCCTCTAGTATGCTGACGGTGCTGCTGCCCTAGTCCCGGCTCCCCTTCTTCGTTGTGCAGGCCATCTTCGCGGTGCCGTGGTGAGACGGCGTGGGAAGCTTCGTGTCCGTGTTAGCGCAGGGTGGTGGTCGGTTTGGTGGCGAGCTCCGGAGTGCCTGAGGTGGAGGATGGGATCAGGAGAAATCCCTGTTGGCTTGGCCAACACCGACGCGGTGGCGCCTGAGGGTACCAACGGACCTTCCTGGAAGGCATCGGGGCTACCCTTCCTCTCTCCCCACCGCGTACCGGGGGGATCCCATGGCAACAACGTCGTCACCGTCGCGTCCCTTCTTGGAGGTGTTGATTGGTACCGGCGCGTTGGAGTCCCGAAGCTTGGGGGACGATTTCCGGTGGACGCAGCGCTCACGAGGCTTCGTCGTTTTTGTCGATCCGCCGTTATCGGCATTTGTTTCTTTTTTTTTCTCTTTTTTTTCTTTTCGTCGTGATTGTGCTGCTTCCGCCCCAGCACCTATCGTTGGTTGTATCGGATGGTTGCTTTCTAATACAAAGCGGGAGGAAACCCTTTTTCTTATTAAGAAGAGAGAAGAGTTCGTTACAAAAGACCCCTTACATGGCCTGAAGGATTATTCTCACAAAATAGTGGACCCTAATTTCTTTGCACCGATGATGACCCAAAGGTTTGCTTGAGAAATGATAGCATAGAGCAATATAGGCAGGGAAACACTTTTATGGCGAGATTGGAAGCATAGGTTAGACTAAGAAATATTCTGGCTTGCCTTGTACTCCAAGTAGATCATGTACTCCTATATATATGCCCACGAGGCTCAAGAAACACAATCAACTATTCCACCAACCATCTCTCCCTTCTATCATGGTATCAGCCTAACCGATTCAAACCCTAGCCGCTGCCAGCCGCTTCCACACCCGCGCGCCGCCCCCGAGGCGGTTGGCCTCCATGACCGCCGTCGGCGGCCGCACCGCCCGTTCCTAGGGTTCGTCCGCCGACAGTGTTGACTGGCTGCCCTAGAGAGTCTTTTTCCCGAGCCCTTGCTCGGGTTTTTCTCTCTCTCGTCGGTCGTTTTGATCGGCGTTTACTTTTTGGTTTTTCGATCTAAGATCGGTTTGCGTCGCCCGCCGCCACTATTGACCCCTCCCCCGTGCGCCTCTACTCCAACACCATCGTGACCGACCGGCTCCTTCACCGACCCGGCGGCCTCGCGTGACAGGCAGCCCCTCACGGCCGTCGTCTGCACGCCGGCCCGCCCGTCAATCTACACCGACCGTCTTCGCCCTCTCCTACCGGGACACCTGCATCACCTCCACCCGGGGGCCTCGCGCCATGCAGCAGCTAATCATAGCTGCCGCTCACGCGCCGGCCCGCCCATTGATCCATGTCACCCACCTCCGCAGCGTCTGCATGGCGGCCCTATGGTCTACCTCGCCGGCCTCGTCTCTGATGGCGTCAGGCTCGTCGACTGTCTCAGCTCGGGCATCGCTGCTACGTTGGTCGCTCGGGTCTCCCTGCCCGGGTGCCGGTCGCACGACATCCCACGCCGTCCGTCCTCGCCGGCTTCTTCTCAGACTCCGTCGCCACCCCGCCTCCACTGAGCGGCGTCCCCGACCTCGCGCGCAATTAGCTTCATCACCTGCTCACCGCCACGATCTGCCTCATCTATGCCCCGTGACCGACCTGCCCCATCAGTTGCTCGCGCCTCCACAGGTCCCTTGAAGATCGTCCTCGAGTTCAACGCGCCCCTCCACCGATCGAGCAACGGGCTGCCGCTACGTCGCCCATTCAGGCCACAGCGCCGTCGCCCCATGGTTCTTCTCCGGACTGCACCGACCCACGTCACCATTGTGCCGCCCTTCGGGCAGTAGTGTCGCGGTCCGCGGTCCATCGCCTTCCCGAGGTCGTTCGCTCTAGGTCGTCCCCTCGGCTGCACCGACCCTCGCGCCGATGCTGCGTCGCCCCGTCGGGCCGTAGCGAGCGTGGCACGCGATCCACACTGCAGTCCCGAGACCGTTCCTGCGGTTGCACTGACCCAGGTTCCGCCGCTGCGCCACCCCTTTGGGTCGTCGCATCGTGACCCGCGGTCCCTGCCGCCACCCCGAGGTCTTCCTGCCGTCGCCCGACCTGCCCACCAACGCTGCGTCGCCCCTTTGGGCCGTAGCACCGCGGCCTGCAATCCACCGCCGTCCCCATGCGTCGACCTCTCTTGGTATGCACCGCGCCGCTTTCCTTGGTGCGGGACGCCACCGTTCGCACCGGTCTTCGTGCTGTCAGGGTTCTTTGCCTACTTCGAGAACCACTGCCGCGCTCCTAACCTAGCTGCCGCCACCGCCGCCGCTCTTCTTTGGTCGCTGCCGCCACTACCCCCATAGCCGCCGCCGCCCGTCCAGCTCCTTCGTCCTCGTCCAAGCACCAGCCGATCGCCAGCATCGCCGTCATCTACCCCGACCACTTCGTCTACTCCGACCACCGTTGGTGACATCGGCCTCACGCATCGTCGTCGAATTTTTCTATGCTGGCCCGTCCGACTTCTCCGACATGGCGTACCGCTAAGCAGGTCCCTCGTCTACACATGCCCGATACTGGCAACACCGGTGCGTGCCTTCGTCCACGACATGTTCTCGGGCCTGGCAAGCCTGTAGCGGCTCTTCGTCAACTTCGTCTTCGTCCGTCTATGCATGCCCAGTGCCGGCAACACCGGTGCGTGCCTTCATCTACGATGTGTCCCCGGGCTTGGCAACCCTGGCGCGACGCGTCATCAACAATGTCTTCTCTCCGGTGCACCATTACTTCGACACTATTGCGCCCATGACTAACTCGGCACCTCCTTGCGCCCGTGGCTCCACGACGACTTCCTC